AAAAAACAAAAACAAACAAAAACAAAACATAAATACAGGACAGAAATAGACTTATGGACAGAGAATACAGACTTGTGGTTACGGGGGGTGGGTAGAGGGTGGGAAGGGAAAGACTGGGATTTCAAAATTGTAGAATAGATAAACAAGATTACACTGTATAGCACAGGGAAATATACACAAAATGTTATGATAAATCACAGAGAAAAAAATGTGACAATGAGTGTGAAAAAAAAAATAAGAAAAAGAGGAAATTTCCAGATGTGATTAAGTTAAGGATCTTGAGATGGGAAGATTATTCTACACTATTGGTGTGGACCAAATGTAATAAACTCAAGGGTCTGTAGAAGATAAAAGTGGTAGGGTCAGAGTAAGAGAAGGTGATATGATGACAGGAGCCAAGGTCAGAGAGAAAGAGAGAGACTGAAGATGTTATACTGTTGGCTTTGATGATGAAGGAAGGTAACATGATTCAAATAATCCAGGTGGCCTCTAGAAACTGGAAAAGGCAGGAAAACAGATTTCCCTCTAGAACTTCCAGAAGGAATGCAGCCTTGCCAAAACTTTGATTTTAAGACTTTGGACCTCCAGAACTATAAGATAATAAAGTTGTACTGTTTTAATCAACAAATTTGTGGTCATCTATTACAGCAGCAATAGGATATTAATACATTCCTCTTGGATACACAGTTGAACTACATCTCCCAATTTCCTCTGAGGCTAAATGTGACCATGTGACTGAGTTCTGGCCAATGGAAAATGGCAGAAGTGTGATGCACCACTTCCATATCAGGGCAATGAGATCATTTCTCGTGATCCTCCATGATTTCTTTTTGCTAAGTGTATAAAAATGATGCAGCAGAGGACTCTAAGACTCTACGACAAGCTAGAACCAGAATGTGGAAGGATGCTGCTCCTCAACCCCCACCTGGAAAGTATCCCACCAATGAACCATACTGAACTGATGTCTAAAGCAAGAAATAAAGTTCTAACTTGGTCAGTCAAAAACATTTTAGGTGTGTATGTTATTCAGTCCTCATCCTACTTGGCTAATGCATTTTTCAAGCAATAAATATCTATTAAGTGTCTATACCTACGCTCTAGTAAAATGGTGAAAAAGAGATAAACACAATTTCTGCCTTCATCAAATGTATCATGTTCTTTGACATCTTTCTGCTTATTTAGTGCAAACATCCTAATTGCTCTTATAAACACAAAATTATTGTAAAGCCTATCCCCTATGTGGTAGTGGTGGTGTGTGAAGAAAAATGTAAAATGATGTTAGTGACTAATCATAGACTAGTGACCCACCTGTAGAATAATAATAACTTCTAGTAGTCAGGCTATGCTACCTTTATGACAAATAACCTGAAAATCTCAGTGCTCAAAGGCAATAAAAGTTTTTTTTTTTCTTTCTTCTCACTCCTGGAAAGTCCACCATGTGGTGACGGCTCTGTTGGGTAACTAGCATGTGAGAGTTGGGACACATGTACTTCCATAGTGAAGCCCCAAGGTTCCTTGAATACATACCAGTCAAAGATGGAGAGAAGAAAGTAAGAGGAGAGTACACAGGTATGCCTAACCACCTGGAATCCAAGGTACAGCACACTACTTTCACCCACATACCATTGGCCAGAACTGGTCATTTCAACCTCTCTAGATGCAGGAGAGCTGGGAAATGTAGTTCCTGATGGATAATTATCTTCTATCAATTACTGTGGAGAACTTATATGACCTACATAGCAAATCAAAGAAACAGAGAAAAAAATGAAACAGAAAAGAGACCAGCACATAAATTTCCTGTCAGAAAAGAAGATGGCACCTTACTTACAGAAAGGAGCATTTATGGGTTGAGGGAGGGGGGGTGGTCTGTGAAATGCAAGAGCCCCAATATTTTGTCTGCAGTCGTAATGATGTCTCTTCCTCCCCCTTCGGTACCCCAGAGAACTTGGTGCCACCCTCACAACAGGATTGTTCAATGTTGGGGAAGCATTGTCCATAACATAACCTCCCACCACAGCCTTTACAATGTCTGTATTCTCCCCTGGAAGTTAACACTCGAGAAAGTTTTAATGATGAAAAATAAAATTCTATCCAGGTGTGAGCAAATCCTTAGCCTTCTGCTTTCTACTCACACTTCCTCACAGCCGTGTTAGAGGGCCATGTGCTTCCCATGGGTTATCTCCTCTTCTACTGCCCAGGAGAAGAAGCCAAAAGAATCCCAAGTTTTGCTTTTGGGTAATTACACTGGGTAATTACTTTTGAGAGACCCAAAAATTTGATGCAGTTGTGTGATGTTCTGTTTTGAGCTGCACAGAAGAGGAGGCTTTTTCTTCCCTAGAATCACTCTCCCGGGGAAGCCTTTATCTGCACGTCCAGGCAGAAATCACTGGAGCTGTCGCTTGTATCTGATTGCATTGGGCCTCTCTGTGTCCTCCTGTGTCCCAGGCTCCCTAGGTAGGACCAGGGTGGTAAGGAGCAATTTTATATCCAGACTCAGGATATACAGTGGATCCTGGTACATAAATATAGCAGTATTTCCCATTTTTCCTGCTTCAGGAGCTGTCTATATTGACTATATATGGTCAGTGTAGTGAGAAAAGGAGGAAAAGAATATCTAGTTTTAAAGCTAATAAAGAGAAGGGGATGGGGCAGGCAAGTAAAAAGAGAGATGTGGTCCTCTTTAGAAAAGCATATTGCTGTGCCCAAGGCAAAGGGAGCAAATGTTCGCCACGTGGTCTATTGAAGGGGCGTCCTCTGTGGTAAAGAAAGTACAATAAGTTTTACTTTTTCTGGAGGTGTTCAAAACCCTAACCAAAGGACTTGGAGTACTACCTTGGACTTGGGGAAGAGAGGAAATTGGACAGGAGTCTATTGTGAATGCTGACAGTCCTTCAGGGTCCCTGATGAAGGAAGCAGTGTGCATTAGAATTCTCCAGAGAGAAAGGGTGTGTGTGTGTGTGTGCGCGTGTGTGTGTGCTGGGAGAGTGAGAGAGAGAGAGATGTTAAAGAACTGGCTTACTTGCAGAAGCTGGCAAGTCCGAAGCCTGTAGGATAGAGCAGCAGGCTAGAGAACCATGGATGAGTTGATGCAGCAATTCAAATCTGAAGACAGAATTCCTTCTTCTCAGGAGACATCAGTCTTTTTTCAACTGGTCAGATGAGGCCCATCTGTTACCCAAAATGAGAAGGAAAAAGACCCCAGTTCTTGTCATACCTGAAATATAAGAATTCAGATGGGAGACAAAGCATTGTGTAGTGAAAGATTTTAAAGAATCTATTCACAAAGGGAAAGTGCACATCCAAGAATGGGTGGTGGGCTGATCCAAGGGTGGATAGCAGTGGTCTTTGCCCCTTCTTGTAAATCTCGCTTAGAGGTGGTCTTTTGATTGATTGATGGCTCTTGTCCCTGGAGTGCTGAGTCATGTTTGTCCCCTTTTGTATATATCCTCACCCATGATGCACACAGAAAAATCCATGGAGGGGTTGCTAAACCACAATGCTAATTCTATTGCAGTGAGCATTGAGTCATGTCCAGTAAAGGCCTTGTCGCCACCACACAGTTGCGGCTGTTGGATTCTAACAGATTTTTTCCGTTTAGAGGAAGTAAAGCCCCTTTATGCTGAAGGCCAGCATAACGCCATCTTCTGGACCATCCTCCCTCTCCTCCATCTTATCTGCCCGGTGTCCCCACTTACCTGACTACCTAACACATCCACATTATGGAGGGTCACTGCTTTACTCAGAGTCTACTGATTTAAAAAACGTTCATCTCACTGAAAAATACATTCATGGAAAACCTAGTGTTTGAGCAAATATCTGGGTCTCATGGCCCAGTCAAGATGACCCAAAGTTAATCATCTCAAAGTGCTTCTGTGAGATTCATCCACAAGATTTACTGGTTCCCGGGGCTCTGTCCCACCCACTCTGCTTTTCTCTGCATAGTGCAGGGGTATGGAGTCTTGGACCTGACTCTGCCACCTTAACAGGACAGCTCAGATTTTGTAGGGTTTAATGCTTAAGTAAGTTGAGTGGCTCTCTTTAAGAAAAAAATTATATAAAACAATATTCTTTTTTTTTTTATCTCAGACATTGCCAGTAGGTAAGGGAAGACCAAGGGGGAGGTAAAAACACTTTGGAAATTAGCTAGGCAGTTTCTCAAAAAGGTAGCCATTCATCTACCTATGACAAAGCAATTCCAAAGAAAATAAAAACTTATATCAACAAAGAAACTGAACAAGGGTTTTATAGCAGCTTTTTTTATAACAGACCCAAACTGGAAACACCCCAAATGTCCACTGAGTTGAATAGATTAAAAACAATGGTATATTCACATAATGAATGCTACCCAGCAATGGAAACAAATGGATTACTGATACGCACAAAAACATATTTCTAGGGTGGAAGGTAATTGACCTCAAAGGGGCACAAGGAAACTTTCCGGGATACTGGAAATATCCTAAATTTTGACTGGGAAGGTGGTTACCTTTGTCAGAATTTGTCAAACTGATTTAATTGTACAGTTAAAATTGATGTATTTTATTTTATGTACATTATTCCTGAATAAAGGTAACTTGAACAAAATTACAAAACAAAGTATAAAAGTGAATGTATATTGAGAATTAACTTTAAAATCTCAGCAAATTTTTAAAATTTAAGCTAAAAAGTAGAAATATCTCCAAATCCAGAAAAATAAATAATTGCTATTATCATATCTGACATAACTTTATGACACTTTTTTTCTTATATTTTTGACTATATATTTTTATTTGCCTTTCGTGTGATAAAGGTATTGTAATCCATTTCTTGAGAAACTAGGAATTGATTTCAATATTTCCCATGGCATGAATGCATGAAATTTGATTTTCACCTGTTGATAATTTAGAGGAGTTTCTGCTTCTCAGTACCTTTTTGGTGATGACACATCTGTAAGTTCTCACGCAGATTTTTGCTAAGGAGGTGCCTCTTGCCCAGGAGCAGTCTTGGGTGTCTCCAGACATGTGATGTCCCTTGGCTTGGCTGCTGAGGGTCACTCAGCAACTGGCTCAGCTCAGCCAGGTGGTCACTGGGCTGCCCTTGAGCTCCTTCCTCATCTTCTCATGCTTGATCCTGGAGGTGAGTGCTCCTAAAACCTGAGTGGCAGTGGCCCCTAATGGAAAAGCATTTCCTTTAGATCCTTATCTTGGGAGTAAAGTTGGAACCCAGAGCTTGATGCCTGATGCAACATTTTAGTGTGTCTGAGGTAATACACAGGTCATGCTGGCGGCCCCAGGACCACTTCCAGGGCACAGAAGTAACCCCCAGACTGGGACATTGTTCTCCGCCCCTTGTAATTGGATGGAGCTACTGCTTCCTGCCTGCATCCTCAGGAGAAGCATGCTAAGCCTTGGAATGGACCTTGCAAGACAAGAGCCCCAAAGCTTAAGCATCATTAGCATTCACCTATAGCTTTGTTACGTTGTTTACGTCAACCTCAGCTTCTCCATTTGGAAAATGGGGATGATGAGGAGGAGGAGGATGGTGATACATGACTCAAAGGATTGCTGAGAATTAAATATATGCAAATTAGTTAACAGGATGCCTGGTCCACAGTAAATACTGCATGTTTGTGCTTGGATGACCACACCCACATTCATTCCAAATCCATCATCTCCAGCTGATCTCTAACCTGAGGCTCCAAGCCAGGTATTTAACATATCTGCAAGGTGAACGGCTCTACGTGCAAGTCCAATAGGCATTTTAAAGTCAGCACACTTATTCATCCCTCTAGTACTTTCCTTTCTCTGTTGTTTCTGCTTTGTTGATTAACAACACAATTCTCAAGTCATTCAAGACAGACAGCTGGGGTAACTCAGTGCTGTCCATTAGATACATAACATAAGCTACAAGTGTGGGTCACATATATAAGGTTTAAAATTTCTAGTAGCCACATTAAAATGGTAACAAGAATCAAGTGAAATTAATTTTGATAATGTATTTTACATAACCATTTATACCCCCCAAATGATCATTTCAACATATAATCTATGTGTAAAAATTATTAATGAAATATTTCATATTAGATTTTCATGCTTGGTCTTCAAAATTTGGTGTGTATTTTATACTTAGGGTACATCTCAAATTATATTAGCCCTGCCTAAAGTGTCCATTAACCATATGTGGCTGGTGGCTACTTGTGTTGGACACCACAGCTCTAGACTCTCCCCAGGTTGGCTTTCTGTCCAACATATCCTATTGATCATCCACTTCTACTGATGCTACTCCTTGTTGCCTACACATTCTCTTATCTGATTCTTTCACCTGTCATAGATGAGGCTTTGTCCCCTTGAACTGACGTCTCAGTCCTCGAATCAATTTCCTTTTCTTTAAACTATTTCCCTTCCAGCCTTCTCTCTCTCTCTCTCTCTCTCTCTCCTTTACCAGTGGATCCCTCCCCTCACCGCATAGAACACATTTAAGATAAAATGCTAAGCCTTTGGCTCATTACACAGAGTCCACCATATATGCCTTGAGACATCCCCACAGTTATATCTCCTTCTTTAATCTGATGCACTCTTCCTCCTAACATCAAGGAACATTTGAAATTTTCTCTACAAATATTTTTTTATATTCAATATCTTTTTTTTAATTGACTTATAGTCAGTTTACAATGTTGTGTCAATTTCCAGTGTAGAGCACAATTATTGATCAAAACACAATTTCTTGTCCTCAGTGGATGTTCCATCAACATGTACATGCACAGGCAGTCCCCTCTTCCTGACATTACTGTCCTTTCCAAAGACACGGCTCTAGATCTTTTCCTTCAGAGCTTAACTTCCACCACATTTCCCTCTAGCAGAATTATTCCCTCTACCCCATTTGTCAGGATGCCTGGGTCTGTATCCCTACATGTCTCTCTTAATAGAACTATTAAGATATCCATTATACCCTTCTGTGATTGCTGATCTTCTCATCTGTCTCCTAGACTTCACTGTACTGAGAGTAAAGACAATATCTTGTTGAAATTCCGCACTTAAATTTCTGCCCCCGCAGTTGGCATGGGGCCTGGGACGTTGCAGGTTCGCAGTGCTTTTTGAGCTCCCATGTGAGACCAGAACCAGGAAAGGCAAACCTGAGTTCCATTTAGTTTGTTTTTCATCAATAAAAACCAATGTTCCTATTTTAAAGGCTGAAATGTCATTTCCTCCCACTGTTTAGCAAAAAGGACATTTCCCAGAGCCATTTGAGGGTACCAAAAAACCATATAAGAGCTTTTTAAATGTTTTCCAAAACCATACTCTACACAAAAGACATCTCAAAAGAAGATAAATAAGCATTTACATAAGAAAATCTGACAATTGTATATTTATGTGGGCGTATTCAGGGTTCCTAAGGATTCCAGCCAAGAAAAATACTAGTTTGTGTTCTTGGCTATATCTTATTATTTTAATAAAAGTTTCACATTTAAATCAATTTTTTAGCGTGTTGCATGAACAGCAAAGAGAGTGGATGTGCTCTCCTTTTAGCTAACTGATTTATACAAAATCTTATTCACTGGAAAAAACTATACAAGCGTATTTTTTACATTAGGAAAAGATTTACCTACTATGTCTCTCCATTTAGAACTCACTACATGTTTAATGTGATTTGTTTTATTTAAAATGCATGCATGAAAAACTTGCAGAAGTAATAATCCTTCAAATTATTTTGATTTTTACAAAAAAACACTTTTTGAAAATGTTTTGCCAACTAGTATCTCATTTTATTTTTACATAATTCTCCAAAGTTGATAAGGCAATGATGATTATCTCAATTATGATGAATAATAACAACAGTAAGAAGAAATAACATTAGCAAATAATGATGGTAATGGTGACTAATGCTCACTGACTATTCGTCATATGCTGGATAGTGTTTTTAATTTTTTCTTTAATCTTCCCAATAACTATATGAGGTAGGTTATTATTCATGTCTCCATTTAACAGGTGAGTATTGAGTCTGCTGTACTAAATTGTTTTTAGTTTCTCACATTGGCTGTAGTGAGTTGAATAGAGTCCCCAAAACAGCATATCCAAGTTCTAACCCTTGGTTCTGAATATGATCTTATTTGGAACTAGGGCCTTTGGAGATACAAGTAGGTTAAGGATCCCATGATGAAATAATCTTGGATTTAGCATGATTCCAAGACCCAATGACTGGTGTCCTTATGAGAGAAGGAAGCTTTGAGACACAGAAACATGGAGAAGAAGCACATATAGAGATGGAGGAGGAGTTTGGAGGTAAACTGTCACAAGCCAAGGATGTCTAAGAGCCACCAGAAGCTAGAATTTGTAGGGAATAATTCTCTAGAGACTTCGAAGAAGTATGACCCTACTGACACTCTAATACTGGACTTCTGGGCTTCAGAAAAGTGAGATAATCAATTTCTGATATTTTAAGCCACCCAGTTGTGGTAATTTGGTATTACAGCCCTAGGAAATTAGTATATTGACTATGCTCCCTTTTGCTGTAGATTTTTATATGCACTCTTCACTCAAACTCTCTCCCTAGAATGCAGGGAGGAACAAAGAAAGTTCCTGTATCAGTAGGCTCTTGCTATAATAATGCTGCATAACAAACAATTCCCAAAATCTCAGTGACATTCAAAGATAAGCTTCTATTTTTCATATGTCTGCAAGTTGCCAAGGACAGCTTTACTGATCTCGCATAAGCGCATTCTTGCATCTACAAGTTGACTATGGGTCAGCTGTTGTATATATGATTGGCTGGGCAGCTCTGCTTCAAGCTGTGTGTTCAGAGGGGCTGGCTCTTCATGTTGGGTTGGGCTCAGGTCATCTCTGCATACCACTTATTTTTCTTAGACCATCACACTAGAGGCATGGATTCTTCTTATAGTAATGGCAGGGAAGTAAGAAAATGCAAGTGATATTTTATGATACCTCCCTAGGCCTCAGCCCTGAACTATCACATTTTCATTTCTGCCCACATTCTGTTAGTCAAAATCAAATAGAATTAAAGAGGAAAGAACATAAACTCTATCCATAGAGGTGGGACTAAGAGAAGTGGGTTTATTTTTAATGATAATTTAACCTACTAAAGATCCTTTTCTTCTCTGTCTCACTCTCTGTCCCCATGCCAACCATCTTCTACTTCTGTTTCTAGAAGCAATCTACATATTGCCCCTTCCTGGAAGACTTCCCTACAATCCAAACCCGAGTTAGGTATTTCTCCCACCCGATACTCTCCCCTTTCTATTATTATGACACTGGATATAATTCATATTTAATTATTTTCAGTCATGATTTCTTCAAATACCTTTTGATCTCTTTTTCTCTTTCTTCTCCTTCTGGGGCCCCTATATGTGTAGACTGCCATGCCTTATATTATCCCATATATTGCTTCCATTAGTTTTCACTGGCTTTTCTGTCTGTTGTTTTGATTGGGTGCTTTCTGTTATCCTGTCCTCTAGGTCACTTATTTGTTCCTCTGCATTATCTAGTCTGCTTTTGACTGCCTTTAGCTTAGCTTTTATCTCAGCCATTGAGTTTTCTGTTTTTAATTGGCTCCTCTTTATAGTTTCTATTTCCTTGCTATAGTTTTCTGCATTATGATTCATAATCTCTCTTACTTCCTTCAGTGCTTTTATCATTTCCTTTTTGAAGACATGATCTAGTAGAGTGTCAAGGTGTATGTCATTAATCATTCTTTCAGTGGACTTCCCTTGTTCTTTTGATTGAGAGTGGTTTCTCTGCTTCTTCATTTCATTTATATTTCTCTGACTCTATGGATTTAGGAGTATCAGTTATCTACTGTGATGCTGAAGGGCTGTTGTTTGCTTGTTTGTTTGTTTGTTTTTAAAGTGAGAATGTTCCTGTGTAGACTGTGAGCATCTAATAATTTTTGTCACAAGGGCTGTTTTTAGTGTGGATGGTGATCACGTCTTTTTCCATGTGTGTTGGCTGTTATCCTGTTGATTGGGTGTGTTGTTGGTATGGTGATTAGAGCCTGCTCTGGTTGCTAAGTGGGTCCTCTTTTTTGTTCTATGGTTTTCACAGCCCTGACAGGGGCCGGTCTGCTCCTCTGTTGTTAGAATAGAAGCTTCCAGACCCACTTCTGAGCTGTGGTGTGTGATAGGCATGGTTGGAGTCCTTCAGCAGGAAGAAGAGATGCTGAGTATTCCTCCTTGCAGGTCATGTCCACCGGGAAGTGCCCTCTGTGGTGTTGTTTGCTACCTGTCATGTGGGCTTACACAGTTCTCTTTGTTAATGCTGCCCTTGTCCCCACCTCAGCCACAGGAAT